TACCATATTATTTGTATATTCGAAGTTCTGATGATCGAGAAGAGAAGTACTATATGCAAATGACTGATGTACGCCTCTGAATGTAATCATATCCATTTATTCATGGTTATAGACTTCGATGTGACCACAGAAATCCAGGTACACAATCATCCATTATATACCTGGGAAAATTCAATTTTTGTGATGGACACCATTAAAACACTTGCTGATGAATCCATTCAACACAGTTAAACAACTGAACGCACCCGCGGTTTTTATAATCTAATAGATGCAGAAGACAATATCGATGTACTTCAAATTCGAAGAGGTAGTTACAAGGTTTTCTTGCATTTGTTGTTCCTCGGGTTGAATACGAACCTGAATGGTTGTAGAAGCTAGAATTTTAGAAGTTGCAGTGATCATACTGGTCATTCCTTGATAATCAAACATACAGGTTTCTTTTCTTTCTTATCAATTGGTATGACCGACAACTAAGGCCAGTTAATTGTAAGTCACTGAGCGGTATCCTGAAGGAAAGAAATTAATCAGTTTGAACTACCATATCACCAGAAGTCTTGACGTACACCATCAAGGTTTCTTACTGCCTGCAATTTTAGGCTTGTTACAACCTTTTAAACCTAAGTAAGCATGGAACAGTTTATCTCAATATGACAATGAGGCTGTACATGAATACTGGACTACTAAAGGTTAAAAAATAGACTGAAATCCTTCAAAACGTATACCACTATCTTCCTAGCCATTGCCACCACCCTGCTGTTTTATTAACTGTCACCCAAAACGATTTTCAACGTATATCAGCACTGTGGAAAAGAAGCGTTCGGGCTAATACAGAAAGACTGCATTATTTCTACGATCAAGCCGGGTCATCGTATCAAAGAAGCAAGCAACGACCAAGATGGTATACTTGTTATGTATTATATCTTTTTAATTCAATCAAATGTCACCCTTGCTACATTGGCCTGATATTACAGTTAGAATAGCTCCGTCAGAATTACTTGCAAATGTAGGATCCACTATTTCGGTCAAATCATCTAACCCCTTATGTAAGTGAAAGTAGTTCAGACAATTATTTGCCAAGACGGTATAATAACGACTGTTGCTCCAAAGTTTAAAAAATCAGTGTATCATCCACAGTTTTTCGCAGCATGTACAATAATTCATTATAAACCTGTAACTTAAGAAATTATTTCAATAGTCAGAGTCTAGTAGCTAAGACGAATTAGAAAAGGACGTTGAACTCAAACAATTAGAGGGTAGTAATTATAGACGTTTATTTTAAACACAAGACCAGTGAGTCATCGGACGACATAGAGAAAGAGGGTGGATGCAAACCAGAAGTATATGGAATAAAGTCTTGTAAAGGCTTGTGAAAACGCACCCGTCTTTCAACACTCCAGATACACAATGGAGATAATCACTGATATCCTAAAGAGACATTAACCAGAAAGAATATTCACTCATAGTGTATATATCTCAGTCAGAACATCCAAATTCATTGGTACATATACCTTGATTAAACCCAGTAGACATTACAAATGAATTGTCTGTGCAACAAATGGTAGCCAAAAACAAGGAACAATTATCATTATATAAAACTAAGAGAGTTTATGACTTGTATACAACCATGTATAGTTCTTTTTTCTTACATAGCATGTTTCTCAATGATTATCAATGTTTGTTTGAATAAAATCATAGTATGTATGCACTTTGTAACTTGTTTGTATTGTATATGTCCACGTAAAAGTACAATTAGCTAAGCAGTATTATAATGAAATTATATAATCGATTGGAAACATAAACAGTAAAAAAAATACGATTCAATTATGCATAGATTATAAGCGACAATAATCAAGCTTATAACATACTGGTCAAACTATTGAGAAAAGCCGAGTAACAACATCTTAGTAGACGCATAACTTGTCATGGAATTTAGTAAGTTTGAAGAAATACAAACTTCCATGTTGCGATATGAAGATGAATATGTCTTTTACAACAAGCACCGATATCAACCAGACAACAAATGGAAAGTGAACAAGTAACAAAGGAAAACGATATGAATAGCATAAGTAGAAGGGAAGTCCAGTAAGATACATTAGAAACAAAAAACACTAATTACTTTTCAGCAGCCGAAGGCCGGAGGAAGCTACAGCATAACTGCCACTGGTTTCGATTCTGACCCATATCTAATTATGTCTCAAGCTGCTGAGTTGTATGATCTCTCGGATTCCACCTAGACAGTCATGATGCACCAACAGATGCTAACACGATACAACTATCTTTTATGCCAGGGCGCCACGTCACGCACAGACCACCCCAACACTTCTTTCATCACGTCCCAAGGTTAGCAAACAAGGAATGGTATGGAAGTTATTGGGACGACACGCGTAAAACATGTCCAAGCCACCAAAGCCGGTATTTCCAGATGACTGCCTTCACTGAATGATGATCTCCATCATGCTCAGACACATAGTATGGTAACTCAGGATTACTTACTTGGTGATGCTACCGAATACAAGCAATCATACGGAGACAACCATGATCAAATACACAGAGTCGTCGCATATCCTCAGAGCAGAGAGGACAGGTTTGAAAGTCATAAGCCAGAACTGCTCGCACCAAAACGTTGTAACGCCGACCTTTTAAGACCAGACTGACGTCATGACAGGGTTAAAGGTGGCCCAGACTGACGTATGCCACTTTGGCTTTCGATATGCGGTTAAAGATTTCACCAACAATTAACATCTAATAAAACTTTTAAAGTCTAACCTATTATTCTCTTGTTCAGTAGTCAAATTATTAGTACCTTACGAAGCAACCATCTTGGAATCAGACAGAACGACCTTTCAACGCTTCAGTTTAGGACAGTCTTCCAGGTGAAATCAACTTGTGACGAGGTCCACGATCAATCGGATCCAAAGATGGTTGGCAGGTCATTAAATTTCGACTTAATGGCTGAATGTTAGAGTGCTTGATGTGAGACATGCTGGTCCGCAGATCCATTCCCCTCAAGGGATCCTAAGTGTTAATCGTAAGAGAAGCTCAAAACTACCCAAAACAACTTCCAAGTATTCCCACGTGTTCAGTGGTTCTCTCGCTGATGTCATTTTGTGTTTAAAACTCCTTCGAAAGGTTTTATTATCGTTGCATAATTTCTATAAATTTTGATCATAATACAGACTTGTCCTAACTGACGTTTCACTACAGTTTTCAGCTCAGCTTCAAATTCTAGGTCGGTCTTCAAATCAATGGATATTCTAACAAAAACCTAGTGGATCCATCCCGTCATCGAAAAGGAAACATCCACATGAAAAAACACTGCTGTCAGAGCATTCTTTTAACACCGCCTCAATCTGATTTGTGTTATCCCAGAACTATCGTAACAGTAAGTATTATTGTTATTATTCTGCGGATTACATGCAGCACTGCAACATCTTGAAAACGTGCACATCTAACTCGTATACATGTGACATTTCATTGAATGGCAGACACAGGAAAATAAACAAACATGTTAGATAATAATGGAAATCAGTTGATTACTGAAGTTAAATTCGGTATCTGAATGAATACACAGCAGTTAAGTGGTGACGTAATACACTCATCTCAACAAAAAAGTATCTAACGTGTTATTAGTTTACTTAAAAAAACTTGACGGGAATATATAGTGCAATCTAAGCGTTCATTCATTTGTGTAACTAATTACCATAAAAACGTGTTGAATAAATGGTATTAGAGATAAATTTCCACCACGCTTTTGAATTAGATTAATTCTGAGACCTCTTATTCACACCTAGTTTCGATTTAGGTAAGGAAAATCAAGAAAAATTCATTGTCCGAATAAAACAAACGATCTCATTCGACACAACTACATACTTTCTTTCATTGTCTCCAACATTTTTGGGATAAACAATTTTGTTCACTAACCCATGATATATGCAATTCAAACACAGATATTTCAGTATTACAAGTGCTACGATATTTTCTTAAATAAAGTTTGAATAAAAGAAGAGGTCAAATTGTACATTTCACATATCAAAATACTGGTAAAAATGACAGTATATAGAAAGAAATGAGACTCAAATTATTTGATAATAATTTAATTTTGAGGTTTATGGGGATTTATTTATTGATTACGGGTTGGCATTCACCATGGATGGACATCAATTGGAGAACCATTGGAAACCTAGGAGGACTGGAGGGCTATTTCGTCCTATTTTGACACTCCTCAGTAGTGTGCATCTATGAGAAGTCGTGATCGGTGGGGTCAAACAGGTCGAACGTGAAGATAGTTACTCAAAAAGACGATTGGATGGAGGTCACGTCACATCGTGTACCCGATTATATATTATTTTGATATTGCATGAAGCTTTTAGTAGGATACCTAGTCCACTACTTAACACACACATATGCACACCATCAGTCCATTATAGTAAACTAGCTCTCGGTAATCAAGTCCAAACCTTGAGAAAAAGGTTATGTATGTGAATTCATTTTCATCTGATATGTTCGTTCTACTGTTGTGTGCCGGACAGTTTGGTAAGGTAGTAGGTAATCATAAAACTTGATGAAAATAATGAACTCAACTTATAAAAATATTGCAGTTTTGAAGGGGATGGACAATTATTTGAGTTTTTCTGAAATACATAGGCAACTGTAAGTCTTTCGATTTCAAATTTCTACCTGTTTGATATCCTACTAATAAGTTTGTGAAAATAAGAGATTTTCAACTGAAACATGACCAAGAACTACACCTTATACTTTCATTAATCCACTGGTAGCTAAGATCACTTAATATCAGAACCATCTATAAGATCCATTCTGAGCTATATATCATCTAGAATCTCCAACTACCTGGCTTCTTTTGTCATACAGATCTCAACTGGAAAGTCTATATTCCCCTAGACAAATCAGATCAAGAGTGAATATTTAAAAAGATAATACATTCAATTTGAAATGACACATCAAATACATTGAAATTAAATTATAAGAAACTACAGACTAACCTTTGAACAAAATTGACAAACTGCTTTAATTCATTAGTCGGTTGACAGTTGACCATAAAGTGAAGCGGTGATATTGACAACGATGACGACACTTCTTCATGTATCTCTGCAGTATTGATTTCACCTTTTTCATCCTCATGAACATAAGGTGAAGTAGTCGGATGAAAAATGGGAAAAGAATCTTGTTCATGTTGTCTTAATTTTATCCCTGTCACTGTATCACTGACCTATACAGTTGAAGGAAAATAATGCGAAATGATAAAAAATCAAGGAATACTTTAAATTTCACTAATAGTAATACGATATTCATATAAAACCAAATATTTTCAGTTAGTGAAATGGCGACTTAAATTGGGAAGTAGTAATTCAACCTGGTGGTACCATCTTCAATTCTGAAATAGGTGTTGATACTATGATTTCCAGAAATACAGTAAAACATCATCCCATCACTGGCCTTACTATTACTAACTATCCTCTGATAAAGGATTTATGAAAACCATTGCAATGGTGAAACATTTTTCATGTTCGAAAAAAGTGGTGCAATATACACCGTTTTATGGTTCTAGAATTCTTACTATAAACTGTGATGATGATAGTGGTGATGGAATGGACCTCCCTTATAACAGTATCATATAGTCTAATTTCAACTTTGATAAACACTAAAATAAACAAATGGAAATAATTGGAATAGATTAACCAGTAAACAAAACTTTCACTTATATTTCAACGCAAAAAAACAGAACATTGGTTTATATAATAGTCACATGCAGAAGTGAATGAGATCAGAAATCATTTAATAGGCTTCCAGATGTCTGTAAATATTTTCAACAAAGAATTACAAGGTTCAGATGTGTCTAGAAGTAGCCTGCATCTGTGATATCGTCACTGGGTAACCAGAATGGCATAAAAAAAGATTTGGTGATCTCATTAAAAATTCATTAAATGAGAACTAATTGTGATTTATGAAAGAAGTAATATGCCGATAATCAACTTTTCTGACTAAATGAAACCGTCAGTATTTCTTGTTTGCCATCAATTAAAACTAGTTGTACTCCACAAATAAGAATAGAGGAGATCAAAAGTAAGTAATTCACTAGTGAGAATTCCTTACAGCCTCTAAGTTCATGATAACATAAAACATTTGGAATGATATTTCCAATAAGGAAATGTAAACAATTAGTAATTATTGTTCGATGCTTGTCGTCTATTGTTGCAATACCCGGTCAAATTCCTCGACCCCTGTTGGCATATGACAACAACAACACACACTGTCCAGGTAATCGGGTAGTAAAAAGGCATCTGAAAAAAAGTTTATTTGCCAACAAAGGTCGAGCGATTCAACAAAGTATACCAACTGAAGATTGCAAGAATTTGTACTTGTTGTGCAAGAAGTGGCTCTGATGATCCATTGGCTTAGTGGATGATGATGTTTTGGAGTCTAAGCTGATGGGTTGTCAGCCTGAGTCTCAGTAGGAACAACATCACTCACTAGAGTCCAGGTACACCTGGCTGATGAGTCCTAAATAGGACGAAATGCGCGTCCTGGATTTCACTGTTAGCTATCAACCAGATTACAATCGATAATTATATTTGTAATTATGAGCACAGTAATAATTTCGGACACAGACAACGTAAGTGACTAAGTTTGTTCTGACTGTGGCGCTACACATCATAACCTCCTATGAATGCGACTAACAGTACAAATATGTCGTAGATACATGTTAGAAATTTGTTTCAACGTTCTATTGTATTTTCTCCAAGCCCAAACGTGATATTATCAGCTATTCAAATAGACTAATCCAACGACTTATAAAGCAAAGCCACAGGATACCAAAATAACATACCTAACCATTTTTATTTTACAGGGTATACGTGCTTAGTAATGCTCAATACACAGCGATATAAAGAAAATACTTATCACGCCACTAGTTGCAAGCATAAGACCTTCAAGCTGGCCAAAGTAGCTTCCTGTGGTTAGTTCATCTTCATCTTTCTTTATCCCTGGCGTTTATGAATAGGTAATCGATAAGTAAATAACTTTGAGGAATCTAACACAGCTGTCAAATATGCCTAGAAATCAGAGAGTTATAGAATTTTCCAAAACTACTTAGATTTGCTTGGAAATCATGAGGTTATGTATTGAATCGATTGATCTGTCATTGGGAAAAGTAGACATCTTGACAGAAAGGTTTGAAGTTGAGTGACTGTAAAGGTCACTCTAGCAAATACTGAAATAATCAATTAGGTTTTTAGTATTTTAGTTGCTGAGATGGCCGTCTCATGAGATGATGAAACCTAACTGGTTATTTCAGTAGTTGTTAGGGTTGTCTATAGAGTCACTCATTTGAATGGAATGCTTTTATTGCAATTTGCATATTTTCTGTGTAAAATTACTGGTTAACGTAGTGTTTAGATTAAAAAACTCACAACTCTAACTCAAGGAAGTATAGCTAGAATCACATGGAACATAGAAAATATATCTTCGTCCACATATCTCGAGAAAGATGCAAAAATGACATTAATAAGTGAAATTAGCGGGTGCTGATCAAAATCATGTAAAAAGCTTAGATTGTCTGACTAAAGTAGCTATAATACTCTAATAAACCCTGTCACAACTTGAACCAATGCACTTTTATGTTAAACTTTTGTCCACATAAGTGGAATAACAAAGTATCAACAGGTTACGTGATGGCTATATGGAAATTATTATAACTCACTTCTTAGTCTTATTTCTTAACAAGTTTTGTTCGGAGTAGTTGAGTATTGTCTTACTCTTTGAACCGGTTCAACGAAGTCGCTGAATAAGTCATAAAATAATTCAAGCTTAATTGTAGCAGATACACCCAAGCTATGATCTGTTGTGGAAATCTGATTACCACGACTCGATTCTAAACTAATCAAATAACAGTGATGGTACCGACGTTCGTTTTGACCTCTTTATCCAGACACAGACAAATGACAATAAGTTAAAAAAGAAGAAACAGACAAATTTATTTTCCCCGTAAATAGATAATGAATAGAGAGCGAGAATAGACATGTATCCACAAGTCTCATGGACGTAGAATGTTGAGACTAAGAGTGATCGAATTCATAGTAGCTCTAGGCTTAATCATGGAAAAATAACGGTCGTTAGGAGTATATTATCTCGGTAATTACTTAACAGCAGGCAACGTTGGCAGTCAAACATCAACTGTTCAACTAAATTTGAACATTTATATCCTAGTCGACAAAGGTTTAGTCTCGGATATGCTTAAAATCTGTGACTAATATATACGTCAGCTTTCTACTTCAGTTTGAAACAATTACAAGGTGTTTCACTTGTTTTAAATTCTTCGATAAAAAAAAGTTGCCGAAGACAAAACTGTCCTTCAAATAGTTTTACACTTCAGTTAGTTAGACATACTGAAAATGGAAATGAATTTTGATACTGGTCGGTCTGTATAAGCTTGATTCATGATGCATTTACAAAAAAATGAATCAGTCACTTTGGAAAATATTCGAATTACATGAACAACAGGATGAACAAACTGAATAAATGAATGTAGGTCAATTTTCAACTCTATAGTTAACAAGAAAAAAGGGAAAGAGACAGAGAGAACAGATAAATGGATACACACACAGAGCAACAATGAAATAATAATAATACTTAACAGGAAGTCTACTATTTAAATATGCAGTACACTTCATCATGATGAAAAAAAGTATTCGGATTAATAGTCATTCTGTGCAACTTAATTGATACATTACAATCATTCGGTTGTTGGTCTATGCACTTGACTTCCGACCACTTGGTCACATATGCGAACCCAGCTTGGCCTACCAAGGCCTGGCCTGGATAGCCGGGTAGTAACGTTAGCTCTCACGTAAGAGATTCGGCTCGCTGCCTTCCGCATAAGTGTGCATTTCCGGGGATGTCGCCCTTGACACAGATCACTCACTATCCAGCAAACAGTTTACATAAACGAATTAGGTCGTTTAAAGAATCGCCTAAAAGCTCATTGGTCAGCATACAAATGAGGATATTCATAAATTTATTTACAATCTTCTCTTACTATCGACCTCTTGCGTTGAGTAGTAAATGAACAAACCGATTTCAATACTTCGAGGGACCACGCACACAAGTGCATAAAACATGGTAATAAAAACTAAGCTCTGAAACACACAAAAACTTGGAGTAGTCGGAAATCGAGAAATGTGACACAGCAACTTATACAACCAGCATACAATGGGAAGAAGATAAAATTTCATAAATAACAATGAAGAAGATAGTAACAACAAGGACAGTTACTCGTTCAAAATGTTTATCCCCCTGTTTATAAGGTTAAATAAAACAAATATGCCACCGAGTGATTCCTGTGACGATTATCAGAAGTAAGGATGCACCAGCGGATAGTAACTCACAAAAACTATCCGTTGTTCTGTACTAACATGTTATGAAATATTAGTATTTTCACTTTTTCATCTGGTAACATTGTCAGCTAATAGTGATTCATGCAGAACCTAAAAATCTTGCTATTCATGGAATGATAGGTCAGAAATAGTAGAGTTATTTGCTGATTCTTGACTGGCTAAAGCCCTAGAAATTCCCTTTTTTACATAAAATAACATGAGTTTAACTAAAATTTCCAGTTATTCTGACGTGGGGTGAAAACTGTCTCAATGAGCAGGAATTTACGACAATTATATTAATCTAAAGATAACTGTGTAAGACCTTGAAAACCAGGATTATGCGTTTAATAGATACAGAATTAAAATTCCCCATATAAGATTCTAGATTTTAGCTTTAAGGGTTTTACTTATCGGTTATTCTCTCTTAAAACAAAGGAAACTCTGGGTGTAAGCATTCTTTTCAACTCCTGGCTTTCTGCTATTTCAAAATTTGATGGGGGCTATCAATCCGCTTAAAACTAAATAATAGGGTTTAGGGGGTTGGAGATATGGTCTGCATTAAGAGCATACACCTAAATGATAAGTCAAATAAACTATAAGTTCTTCGTTTCACATTTTTCAAACTTCACGCCACTATGAGTAGAAAATTTTACAGACTTAGTGAGCAGTGCAAAAATACCGCATAAAAGTTTAGTTCCTTCCATTTTCGCAAATACATCGTCAGATAAGTTAAATACTTATTGTTTCGATAAAAGGACTGTCAGCTCAAGGTTGTTTAGTATGAGACAATTTTCGGATTCAACCGTATGGAAAAAGACAAGACGAAATATTGAGAAGATGCATGTACAAGGCATTGAAACCAATGTTGTGACAATCTCCTTAACTCGATATTCATTTGCATTAGTTGTGAATATATACAGTGGATTTTCAGCATTATTTGTACCATAATACCATTAAATAAAGTGAATCTTACAAAGACAATGATGATCCAATACAGAGAATCTGTGAATGCCCTTAGCTGAGAATATTAATTTTTCACATGTGCAAATAATGATCATTGGAATTAACGTATTGTCCACATGACGCTTAACAGTCACGTGAAGATGACCATTTTAAAAGTTTATCATATCAAACTAAGCCACCTCAGCTGAGGCTTTCAAGGAAGACTAATCTCAATCATAAAACCATCAGCAAAAAAAAGCTAGCTGGATGCGTAGCGCTCTCGACTTTTCAATGGTTCACCTTCAAGACTAAGTTAAAACACACAGTCCTGTCAATATCGTACAGGGATTTTTCACTTTCATGTTGCATAGCACATACTTTCACATCAGCATAGTGACCAAAAACTAAGTTAATGCAACTTTCACACGTGCTTTATCGCCCAGTTTTGAAACAGCGTTCACATAGTGAACATTTAAAAGTCTTTCGCCATGTAACAGATCCACTCCGCGACTTTTTCCACAAACTTTTGACGGACTTTATCGATATTGTCATTTGGTCTGCATTAACAAGCTAGAACAGTAAGAATGGTGTCAGAATACCTGTTGATAAGTAATTCAGTAGTACAGAGTATTTCTAGAGATCGGATATATACGCTGTTTTGATTCCTTTGATAACCGTCTATTGTCCAAACGAAAAAGCAAAAAAGCAATATTTTGTCCACCATTATCAAACTAATATGCCGGCATCATTGAAATATCTGCCTTAGCTATGTAACTGATACAAAATTGAATTAGAAATTTAATGATCATGGAAAATAAGAGAGTAAAATTGGTTTCGAATAACATGATATTCAATTCACAGAGAAGGGCGTAAAGGATAATTACTGTGAGAAGTGGTGGGAAGATTTAAATTTCCCAAAATCTCCAGATCAACAGCTGATAATTCAATAAGCTTCGCTATGAATAATTTCAAACTCCTTCTACGCTGATCTCTCCATTCTATCATCCCCTCCAGAAAAAGAATATATTGACACGTTAGAGGTGACAGCTATGAAAGCGAAAGCAGAGCTTTTCATAACCTTATTAAATGGTCTATAATTCATTCCCAAAAACCTGCAGTACATATCAAAGATTCTTGGTCATCTTTCTTATCAATTGGGATTAGTAATCAGAAAGCACTTTATACCAAACACATGCAACTATCATTCAATCGGCTTGCACTATGCATCCCAAGCAGTAGGGTATAAAAGTTTAATATTATGGCACATTATTAGAATGACTAGGAAGTCAATATTTAGGTGTAATATCTAACCGGTTTTCCACTTCCAATTGTGGGTGTAATCGTTCAATCGAAAGACTGTTAGTGTATCTGAAAATTACTTCTAACAGTGAGATCAAACAGAGAACGATAAATACCAAAGACCACCTACCACTATGGGAATGTGACATTTCGAATGTTCAAATACTCCTACTTAGATAGCTAATAAAACCGTATATTTTCAAGGAATTAATAACACAAATCAATATTACGTGCAATAATCCATACAAAAATAAGGGAAAAAGATATTTATACAAAGGGTCTAGGAATCAATAGCCTGCAATGACGTGGGACCTGGGCATTAACGCATAACGATCCAGTTTGAGACGCCTTATCACCACATTTATATAGAAAACATCAGGATGGAAGATGAAGAAACAAAGTAGTCAACAGTGATAAAATGCTGTTAGAAGACGGCAAGGAGGAATGAGATAGCACTGAAATTCAGTATAACGACCAGGATAAAGATAATTTGTGGATAAATCTACACCACTACCATCGATTCTGGGTCATATCAGCTAGAATCTCCAAACAGAGGTCTCGATTTTCGTGCAGACTGCAACTAGAAAGTTCATGTTTTCGTACAAGACTCAGATCAACAATCAGAGACTTCCTTGAATGCCCCCATGTTTTTGTATGACCTCTTTTCACCTTTCTCCGGCTTCGACCTGCTTCAGCAAGCATTGCGTGACGAGAAAAACAATGACTAGGCATGCTTAAAGCGTGCTACACCTATCTGAGCTGATGAACGTTAACAAACTCATCAGCTGACTTACCATACTAGAATCTCTACCCTTGACTTCTTTTACTGATTTGGTGGCACCACAAAACATCGCCTATACTACGAAAGGCGGTGACCATTAAAAACCTTTACCTTTCTCAAGCCCATCTTTAACGGTCATATTTCACAGAAATAAAGCAGAACTGAGCAAACTGCAGAGTAGTACACCTCTCTAATAAGATAAAGAATATCATGGTGGTTCCACAAATGGCGTAGGATGGCTACGGCCAATCGGACATATTGTATCCGTAGGGAGATTTTGTTGGCCACTGATCAGACTTCCAAGAAGTGGAAGTGGTAAACGTGCCCAACCACTTCATAACCTCTAACTAGAAGAGGCTCCAACGCAGATCCAACCCAGAACAACAGTTCGCATTTTCGTTGTAAGAAAAGCAACCCAAACATTCAAAGTGGGCCACTGATTCTCCTCACTGTCAACGTCCCAATCCAACAAGACTATGTCCTACATGTACTATACATCTACGAGACAATTTCCTATGATAGGGTCAACCTCTGTAGTCATATGAAGAAAATATATCCACAAGCATATCCATGGCTAAAATAAGAAAGGAGAGGGCAGACTTCCTCGACGAACACCATTAGATGTACACATGTGGCCTGATAATCCACTTTAGTTTCCGATAAGCTTATGGATGTTCAATCACAGATTTTTCAAAAGAATGGCGCACTTACCTAGCACCTTTTCGGTGAGAAATACTTGCCTAAAACATGTAGGTTAAAGAGGCTAAATGCCTTCTTCATGTCAAGAAACACACCTAGCGTTAGGCATTAATAAGTGTCTGTGTTTTGAAGCCTTGCAGAAGATGAAGACATGATGCCTCAAACCATGCTTCAAGGAGAAATACCTGCAAACGTCAACAAAATGGCCTGCAAATGGTTCTGTAACTGCTGAAAACCACACACGTAAAACATCTTTAAAAAAATTTAGTAGGTATAAATAACAGGGGCTTTTGAACGAGTAAGCGAAGACTAATTTCTTATACAGTTAGGTAGGTAAGGACAGCAGAGGAACCGCACATAAACGTCAGGTGATTTACTAGGTCCTCGGAAGTCGGGTTATTCTATGCCAGCAGTGCTTTCTCGAATTAAGAGTTGCAGAATATGATTTTAAGTGGATACCAAGAATTCACTACCCATATATTTACTGTCAAAACAATTTTCCTCTTACGAAATCAAAACTTAGAAAGGATAAACTCAAATGCTAGACTGGTTTGTGGGAATAGGCTCAAATAGGGTAACACTGACGTTAGAGAAGCATGGTGACAGCTAGCTGCAATTGGACATTTGTAATCAACTACAAATAATCTGCTAAGTATCACAGCGTCACAATCGAGTTTAGTCTAACTCTTCAAAAGGATTGAACTGATTTAAACCACTGAATTATTAGTTCCTGCTTCATTCTCTGAAGATTCTTATTTATAACGTGTTGTAGGAGACAGCGAATCAAGGTGAAACACTGTCGGTTTTTTGACCTGAGTCACCACACTTTCTGATGTTTTACCTAAATAAGTCACGTAGATACTTTCAAATCTAAGATGAGGAAGATGCAATAAAATTAGACTCAAATGAGCAGATGTTAACAATCTTTTGGTTGCACCGGAGGTCTACTTAAACGAATATATTTTATTTAATCCTTTTGTTCCAGTTTTTTAAACTATTTAGTAATGTCTTTTAAACGTGCCATGTAATCCTGCACGTTTTTAAAATGTTTTGAAATTGCAGTTTTTCAAGCCAACAACAAGCCAAGGGAGAAACTTTACGCAGCTACGAAAGGGACTAACAAATAAACAAAGATGTAGCACATTCCTATTCTTAGGATACCTTTGTCGAATTCCAGATTTTTGTACTGGTTAAATGAATTACCAATACCAAAATTACGCTCAATTTTTTATCCACTCACCATTTCAGACCGGAAGCTAATGTGCAATGATCATCTCTTTTATCAATTCAATGTATTTTTCACATATGGAAAATACATGAAATATTTGTTGAAGCCTCCAAAATATTAAGTATATTACACCTACTTGATGAGTTGAAATATCCATTAGAGTGGATTGCCCATTCATCCTCTTTATTTCCCCATTTTAATTGGTTTGGGTTTGGCTAAGCGCGTCAATGCCATCACCAAAATCACATCAAATGTAGAAAATTATAACATTAACTAATGAGGTCAAACAAAACAGAGAATTATTTTTCAAATACTTACACTGTCTTCTCCTGAACACATGCCCTTCTTAACATTTACAGCTGACTGGTGAGACACGTCATTTAAATGGCTGTAAATGCAATTAACCTGACTGTAGACACCACCAGAATGTGTAGTCGTAAAAGACATATGTGACGCTCCTGAATTGTCGATTCGAGGAATAAGAAAATCTGAATAATTTGAGAAATCAAATGGTGTGTCATCTCTTGGTTGAAAATCCTTTGATTTATTAGAGGGTCGTAGGAAGGAATCAAAAAAATTCAAGTCACTTTTACTGCTAACATTTGAAAGATTGTTAGCTGGGATTAAAGGGTCGAACATTAACTGAATCTCAGAGAATTTGCTAGAAGAACTTTCCACATCCCCCTCAAAATCAATTAAGTCCTTAAACTCGGAAATTTTGTTCTGTGAGTGAGACATTATTAGGACTAAGATTCATGTTATACAGACGCTACATATTAGCGCTGGGGTAAAAACTCAAAACGTGCGCTGGCTACAGGTAACTGTCGCAACGTAATAAAAGTAGAGTGACCTATTCTGCTTTCAATACCTTTTTCACTAGCCAGTGCAGCACACAGTGTTTCCTTACACCCTCTTCTTGGTGTTGTGAAAAAATTTCAGTTATCGAGAGAGGTTTGATGTAGCGGAGGTGAAAACTCAGTTGCCGGGGCTTCGCTTAAACTTGCATTTAGTTTGGAGCGGATTCAAATTTTAACTCGGAATTTTAGAAACAGAGAATGAGGAGAACTTTAAGTCTACGATCATGATATCTGGAAAGCATTCACCACCAGGCATTTACCAGATCTTTGTAGCGCTGAGATAGAATGAAAGTCCTTTTGTACCGTGGAAAAGCGAATTGGGGGCACAATACTTCTGAAACGTACCAGAAGAAGGGGTTGTATCCATATCAGGAACAGGAACTGTCTGGTTACGGATCCCAACTGATTTAGTCAGAAATGATTGTCTTGCATACCCTCTTGCACTCTTCTCTTGAAGAATGGCTTATGATGCAAAGTTATTAATGGCAACACAAAGGATCAGACTGACTGCCCTGGGGGGCATAAATGTGGATGTCTTTTGCAGTTAGTAAATTTAATTTGTAGAGTGATTGGGGAGCTACAGGATGTTGTGAAGTTTGAGAATATGTCATGACCCATGCCTGTGTATGTGCCTGGATGGAAACAGCAAGATGGTGGGAAAAAGCATACCGTAATAATCCCAGAGGCAAAAATGGATAGCATGGGTTTAGCTGCTAGATAAGAGTTGGGAAATACTGCTGGTGTATCAGCAAGAGACAGGTTGAGTGATGAGTGGAAAAAAGGCAGTGGTGGAATGGTGAGGTCAGCAATTCCTTGTGTACGTCCGTAGCTAAACCAAGCGAAATGGCACTACCGTCCAACCGTCTTTTGCAGAAGTCTACGGTAGGGTCTGTGACCACATCCTGCTGCAGGGTATCTTATTATGAGGTCCGCACTCTTACTGAGAAAGAGCCAGGCCTGAACCTGGTGTTGGCCTTCTAGTGTTCTATCCTGACGAGCTTTCCTCGTGGTGACCGCTGCGCTGCAGGCGAGGCCGGTTTGTTTGGGTGACTTGCGTGGTGCATGAACCTGTAGGACACAATGAAGTCATCCCCCTCTCTGAGACAACCCAAAGTAAATAGTAACATAGGTGATATTTACTCTAAGGTGGTACCATCAGAGCAACTTCCGAAATCCTTTCACGCGAATAGGTGGACTTATGCCGGTGGAAAGCCACATAGGGTTAAAATCACCGATGATGAGAACCCCTGACAGCTTCGAATGCAGAGGTATTCCAGCGGGCTGTTTTGTTTCTTTGCTAAACGCTTCAGTTGCTTTGGAGTTTCCGACGTAACTCAAGCAAACCAGAGAACTCCTTCATTTTTTACGTCGTACCGCAGAACATACTTGTTAGGGATTCCAGGGTGGGGACTATCACAGGCATTCAGAGGAGGGCAGGAACAAAGGGCGATTCCTTCTTCTGATCCCCCTGTCTATTCTTCATAACTAAGCGGAACCAGTGGGGATGGACTTCCTTTGATCTGTGTTTCAAAAACAGTCGATATGCTAACAACCTTCCCCCATCCTTGAGGTGACCTCAGGCGCCCTGCAGGGCAAACTCCGGTCCTCGTTCCTGATGCAGTGATTGACGGCAGGACTAATCAGAGTGGCGAAAGGAAGCTCAGTAAATGGTAGTGTGTTGCCAGCCTCTAACTGGCGCATGGCGTCAATATATCTGATGGCTGGGAAACAAAACTGTATGCATCCGAAACATCATGGCGGCCTGCCTGAAAGGACACAGGATTCATTATTCTGAGATACGATTCGGAAATATTTATTGCGCGGGCTATTTAGCGGCAGATTGTGGTGCCTCAAGTAATGACAAGTATAATGACAGCGGTTATACCATTGAAACACAGCCTGTACCCATCTATCAGATAAAGCCGCTTGCACTTTTGAAGCCCCGCAAAACTTTCTTGGTGCTATCGTGTCAGACAGCACCCGAAGTGGAAAACAATTCAGTTGCGTGGGGTCGGAAAAACCGGGTCATTCAGCAAACGAAACCTGACGGAGTATGCCACTTACAATAGATAGCCAAATTTATGTTACAGCCCTAGGGGCAACCTTAACCGTGTTCAGACACATACTAAAATGAAAACCAGAATGTATGTTGACTTAATCAAGCCTGGTGAGCACAGCAGCAAGTTGTTAGCAAGAGAGAGAAGGAATGTACCCTAAGAAATCGAGTACGTAATCAGGTGATAATACGTAGTTAAACAAACGAAGATTTTTGGTTAGGATGGCAGCATGAATGAAAACAGCAGATACAAATCACTACATTCGTGAACTCATGATGGGAGGAAGCAGCAGGCCACATCAACAATGATTATCCCGAATGGATATGCAAGATCTGAGTGTAGCAGCCTTAGTGTCTAGATTCTTTTTCAGTTGGCTTTAGAGACTCTTCAGAGAGCTCAAACATATTGAATAATAGCATACTTCCAGCTTCATTTATACTCAGCATTCGATATGCGATGTGCTCATACTGGCTATGTGACTCACCGTTACCATTATACTGCTCATACTGCTGTTGTGTGACGAAATGGCTTTTGCCTAATATATGTGACAAACAACATCCAAACAATCGCGTACTCTGGAGGAATATATATGGCACGACGCCACATTCTTTTTAAACTTTGCCAGCTTAAGTGGGAAAAACGACGTTCAGATATTCCCTGTAAAAATGGCTTGTGCTCATGTAATTCATTGTTTGAGATACATTATCATCATTATTAAGTGATAAGAAATATGTCAAGTTGGAGACGAAATGTGTAGTTTCAGCGACGAGGAGACTCAGTGGAAGACAGAGTTCATTATAGAAATGTTTCAGTGAAATTCGGGAGTAAAGGGGCTCCTAAATCACATTTGTGTCAGCTTTTGTCATAGCCGTGGCGACTAGCAATTTAAGTGGGCATGGTAGAAGCGATATATGGAGAATACGCTGGGTATAGTAATCAAAACTTACAAGTTGCTGTGATTAGCCGGTGGGGATAAGGTTTACTTGATCTCTTAAAGTGTTCAGTGTGGGAGTGGTTGCCCTAGTCCGTGTTCCAAATAGGAATGCTAAGAAAATCAAACTGGCATAACCAGGTAGGCATTCCACAGTTAGTTTCCACAAGGGAAACTGAAACATCAGAAGAAAAAGACGAAGGCGACAGCGCATACAGCATGAAGCAATATATGAAACTGGAAACCAGACGCTTTACCCCGGCGCATTGGACGATATACTTTAGGCATTCAACTATAGATAATATTGGAAACCATGCTTAGTGAAATTTGGCGGTGTTTTTATTACTTCTGAGAGTGGCTGGAAGGCGGCGGGTGAAATAGGCTTACGACGGGACTGTATTGAAATAATATGAAGAGCATTATTAAACCCCGGCCAAGGAAAAAAGCACATAGGGCACGAGAAAGGTAGATCGCCGTTGTAGCAGCCCGAATCCAATAATCTTGGCCTTAACGCGGGGAATAACTAGGCGGTGCCACTGATGTGAATCTGGCTAGTCCCTGAGTTCTACTGTATAGCTTCCTAACTTCCACGAGTGACGTACAGTCAAAGCTTGGATCAAAACATCAAAACACGGTTTGTAGTAATTCAATAGTAGATTCGTAACAAAATCTGTGGTACTATCAGAGCAGCAATAAGTTATGTCAAAATTACAAAAATACCCCAAGAGCGCCGTTGGGTAACTATACAGTTCAAAACGTTCTCGGGTGCAAATACGTACTACACGGTAAAAACTGGTTAAACAAACACAACTGTTAAGTACTTGTCGGTCAATAGGAATATTCCCGACAAAAGGGATCAAAACTCTGCCAACGGGAATCAAATCAAAAAACAAACGTTTCCAGTAGACAGTCAAATCACAGCACAACCGTAAGCTGAACCAAAAAAAATGTCGGGCACAGTAAAACAACATCAGCTTGTCAACAGTCCAGCGTCACATAATACGAAAGTGAAACATTCATAACGTATCGAACATACAAAGGCAAATACCGAGTGCGAAGTCAAATAAGACAGTCAAACAAGCAAATAACATTACGCCGACTAGGGTCAAAGGTACAACATCCATAACGAGTTAATGGAGTTTGTAACTCACCTAGCAACTATCTATACGTCCTAGGCTAGTGAAAACATGCTAGAATCCCTAGACGTGTGAGGCAAGGCCATCACAAATCTCAAGTGCGTTTCGCCCCAACGGACTCGCAAAGGGTGTTCAAATACCAGTTCATCTAGTTGGGTTGTGCAGTACGAATACATAGTCAGCGCTCTTTCTAAGTCTACCAACAAAAACCGCCTACCTAATGACACATGAACTTCATGCAAAAAATAGAAGAGTTATTCTCATACACACAGATTAAAGTTTACATATAGTTCGAATGACTCTAAAAGGACAAGAACATCTCTCCTCCCAGTTTGTTTTGCGTGGTATTCCGTTGTCCAGTTTTTCCTTGTGCTTTCTTTTCTCTCCTCTTTTATAATAATAATATACTTCGAATAATGAATTGTAGGAATACTTGCCATTTTTGAGGGGAATATCTGAAAGCTATTTCCTTGATGGTGCTGTAAAAGTTCAGAAAGAAACGTGTCATCGTGCCATACAAAGTCTTCTGGAGTAAACAATTGTTTAGATATTGCTTGCCACAAATGTTGGATGAGGGCGATATCGTTAAACAGCAGCGGTGAAAATTAATGAGGGTACAACCTCTAAATATGAAAAGCAACAGTGAGTCGTGGAATCTATGAGAGTATATTGCATATCGAATGTTGAGAACTAGCGAATCCGGATATGTGTCTGTTTTCAATAGGTTTGTACTGTCTACAGGTGGCGAACGAAACTGCAATGGACGGTGGGACAAATTTTGGTCTGGCGTTGTATGGTGTCATGCAGGGTGTAGCAGTTGTTTGGGTCTATAAGGTTGTAAACAGAGTCATTCGGATAAAT